GAAGGACAGGTGAGATCCCAGAGGACTGGAAAAGGGCTAACACAGTACCTGTCTTTATATATATTTTTTTAAATGTGATGTGTGTGGGGGGGGGAGGGAGACGACGACAGAGAAGACCCAGGGAATTATAGACCAGTCAGCCAAACTTCAATAGCTGGAAAGATAATTTATTCCAATTATTAAGCACCTAGAGGATAATAAAGTTATAAGTAATAGCTGGCATGGGTTAGTCGAGAACAAATCATGCCAAACCAACTTAATTTCCTTCTTTGATAGGGTTACTGGCCTAGTGGATAGGGGGAAGCTATAGATGTGATTTTTGTTTTTGTTTAAGTAAGTCTTTTGACACAGTTCCATGTGACATTTTCATAAGCCAAGTAGGAAAGTGTAGTTTGGATGAAATTACTATAAAGTGGGTGAAAAACTGGTTAAAATGACTTTCTGTCAGGCTGGGAGAACGTATCTAGTGGGATCCGTCAGTGGTCTGGTACTGTTCAACATTTTCATTAATTACTTGGATGATGGAGAGGAGAGTGTGCTTATAAAATTTGCAGATAAGGACAAACTGGGTGGGGTTGCTAGCGCTTAGAAGGACAGGAATAGAATTCAAATGACAAATTGGAAGACAAATTGGAAGAATTGGTCTGAAACCAACAAGATGAAATTCAATAAAGGTACAGTATGTGCAAAGTACTTCACTTAGGAATGAAAAACTGAATGCACAACTACAAAATGGAGAATAATTGGCTAGGTGGTAGTACTGCTGAAAAGGATCTGGGAGCTATAGTAAATCGTGAACCGAATATGAGTCAACAATGTGCTGCAGTTGCAAAAAAGGCTGGAGTACTGTGTCCAGTTCCAGGCACTCCACTTTAGGAAAAAGGTGGACAAATTTGAGAGAGTCCAAAAGAGAGCCCCCAAAATGATAAAAGAAAACCTGAGCTGAGAGGAAAGATTAAAAGAACTGGGTGTGTTTAGTCTTGAGAAAAGAAGACTGAGAGTTGATCGGATAATAGTCCTCAAATATGTTACGGGATGTTGTAAATAAGATTGTGATCAATTCTTCTCCATGTCCACTGAAGGTAAAGAGATTTTAAGTTAAATATTATGAGAAATGTTCTAACTGTAAGCAAAGTTAAGGACTTTAATAACTTACCAAGGGAGGTTATGGAATTCCTGTTATTGGAGGTTTTTAAGAACAGCTTAGACACGGTCACTGATTGTCTAGGCGTTTACTTGGCTCTGCCTCTTCACAGAGGGCTGGACTAGATAACCTTTCAAGGTTCCTTCCAGCCCTACATTTCTATGATTATATTTTCTATGATATACAAAACTTTTCTTAAACATTACATGAATATATTGTCTCATACTATAGAATTAGAATTTATAATCCCTATTCCATGATGAGATATATTTGAGCTATAATGTATCTTAATTAAAACTATCTTTAGATAGGTTTTTTCCTCAAAAAGCATTTTATCAAAAAAATCTGATTTAAATAAAAAAAATCCGATTTTAAAAAAAAATTAATTGATTTTTATCCACCCTGCTTTTTACTCCCTTCTTACTGTTCTCTTTTTCTGAAAGACCTGATGCTTAGCCAGGGTCAGGAGAGCTGACAGTAAATCAGAGAAGCTGTACTAGTTTGCTGGACTCAAGTTGCAGTGGGGGAGGTCCAGGTTGGATATCAGGAAAAACTATTTCACTAGGAGGGTGGTGAAACACTGGAATGCGTTACCTAGGGAGGTGGTGGAGTCTCCTTCCTTGGAGGTTTTTAAGGCCCGGCTTGACAAAGCCCTGGCTGGGATGATTTAGCTGGGAATTGGTCCTGCTTTGAGCAGGGGGTTGGACTAGATGACCTCTTGAGGTCCCTTCCAACTCTGATATTCTATGATTCTATGACTTTGAAAAATTACTTGATTTTCTATTTGTTAAAGTTATTTTAACCTTTTTGGCCTACTCATAATTCAAAGACAGCTTGCAGTAAAATGTGCAATCTTGCCCTGTGCTTAGTTCTCTATGAAAATAGAGTTTAATTTCCAGGAAAAATACGTTCCTCAAGATAATAACTGTTTCTCGCTGGAACCTTCATCGGGTCTCCAATACCTTCTGTGAGATGCCTAGCATCAGTTACACTTTTGCTGGCTATGCCAATGCACGTTCTACCTTTTGTAAGCTTTAGAACTCAATGAGTGCCACATTTTAGTCCCTCAGAAGCATGATCAGAGACTCATTATTTTAGCACAATCAAAGAGACTGTGAAAGTCAGACTGAATTGGGAATGTTTTTTCTTTCAAGTGATATTTGCACTTCTATCAGTTTTTCTAGCTTATATATCTTCCATCATTTTCTCCCAGAGTTAAATGTATCATTCAACAATTGCTAAATTTCTGTAAAATTAATATGATGGTTATTAGGTAACTTCTTTGTAAACATCTCTGTAACTAATGTCTATGCCTAGCAATACTATACAGATCACCTGTATATATTTTAAAGTAATATATATATTCCAAAAGGGAAAAGGCTTAAGGATGGTGTCTGTTCCCTTCCCTAGCCAAAGGTTAGCAACATTTTTCAGTTTTTTTCCCCTCCAAGTAGCCTAATGAACTTTAACTAATGTTATATTCAAAAGATTGAATACAGCAAGCTTTCTATTAAATTTATAATAGGTAGGTTTTTCTTTACCTGCCCCCCTCTCCATTCCTACACTTCCTACCGTGTACCTTTTTCACTGTCACTATTTAATTACGGTATATTTGTTTTTCTCTGAAACATAGTCTCCTCCTTTTGAAGATTGTTTTTTTTCTTTTCTGACTTAGCCTATCTACTACTGTATCTAACATAATCCAAGGGCAGAATTGAGCCCAATCTTCTAAGGGAAAGCGTATGGCTCAAAGCTGACCACCTGAGGGCAGCAAAGAATTCTGGAATGCAATCTCCAGTCACAGAAACAACAGCCAGTACATTCACTTCATTTCAGGGGTTGGAAGAGCGCAAAATGTCAATTAACAAGGGATGCAGACAGATATTTGTTGGCTTCAGTAGTAAAATTATTTCTTTAAGTGGCAGAAGAGAGGTAAATTTTACCCAGTTTAGACTTTTAATTTGAACACTTGATTCTGTATGAACACAATCTTTTCCTTGAATTACAATTAGGGGTTTGGGGTGACGAGGCCCCTTTTCTTTATATTTGTTCCTTTATTTTTTCTTAAATTAAGAGGACCATGGTGTAAGCCTCCTCATCTTTTAAAGATGATATAGGATATTTGCATATGAGTCCATGAATAAAACAGTAATTCTTTTGAATTTTGTTACTGACTTTGATTGGAGGATTTCAACATTTATTGATTAAACCACAGCACACCTTTGTGAGCTAGGGAAAGGATATGAGATAGGGATCACTTCGACCACGGCTGAAATGCAGCCCCCCACTCATGTGGTACTCAGCAGCTCTCCAACATTTCATAGCAACTGTGCACAACAGCTTAGGGCAAGAAGTAAAGTACCATGTTTAACTGAGATAGCAGAAGAAACATAGGTAGCAACAATATAATTTACCACAATTTACTAAACTCAATGCAGGACTTTCCATGGCCTGCTGTCATGCAGGTCAGATGATCATAATGGTCCCTTCTGGTCTTTAAAAAAAAAAAAAGCGATGAGTAAGCCCTGCTCCCATTGACTTCAGTGGTGCAGGATCATGCACTTAGCGTGGGCGCAAGATGAACCTTATAAGTACAGTAGAACCAACTGAGCCAAGCTGCCAGGGTATGGCTGAAGGATGCCCTGAGTAGTGCAAAGCAACAGAGGGTCCTGTGGCACCTTTGAGACTAACAGAAGTACTGGGAGCATAAGCTTTCGTGGGTAAGAACCTCACTTCTTCAGATGCAAGACTAACACGGCTACCCCTCTGATACCTGAGTAGTGCAGTTATTCAAATCCATGTGGCCCTTGAGAGACCTTTGAATTTGTGGCAAAACCAGCCCCCATTTGTTCCATAGAGGGGAACCCACCCTCCTGACAGAATGACTTGATGACGTGTAAGAGGAACCCCAGACCTGGACCTGGCCTCTGGGAAAATCTGCAGGAGGGGCTGACTGGCCCTCAGCAAGTTAATATAACTAATTGCATCACCTTAGGGCATGTCTACACTTGCCATTTAAAGTGCAAAATGTCCCTTTTTTGTGCAAAAACTCTGGGAGCGTCTACACTTGTTAATGACTTTTTGCGGTGAAGTTTCACCACAAAAAGAAAACCACCTTCATGAGAGGCATACAGCTCTTACCACTGTTCTTTTTGCGGTGATGTGAAAGTGAAGACACGTTCTTCCAGTGTAAACACTTTTTGGCCTCTGGAGGATACCCACAGTGCCAAAAGTGACCATTCTGGCCAGCACCTCCGCTGCTCTGACCCCAGGTAAACGAACGTCCACCCCTCCCCATGTAAATCCCAGGAAGTTTGAAACTCCCTTTCCTGTTGTGAGTACTCACCTGGACAGGTGACCATGGCTGCTCCACGTAGCAAACCATCCCCTGCTTGGAGCAATGCCGAGCTACTGGACCTGATCACTGTTTGGGGAGAGGAGTGCCAGCTGTGTTCCAGCCGTAGGAATTGCAATACCTACGAGCAGATTGCACGCAGCTTGCAGGAGAAGGGGCATAACAGGGAAACACTGAAGTGCAGAGCAAAGGTGAAGGAGCTGAGGAACACATACCACAAGGTGAGGGAGGCAAACCGTGGGTATGGTGCTGCGCCCCAAAGCTGCCGTTTTTACAGTGAGTTGGATGCAATCCTAAGTGGTGACCCCCACCCAGGGCCGGCTCTAGGAAAGCAAGCAGTTGCTTGGGGCAGCAGATTTGCAAGGGGCGCAAGAATCCAGCATGGGAGCTGAGAACCAACAGGGGGCCCTGGGAGCTGTAGTTCCTTGGTTAGCTCCCTGCCTATAGAGCCAGCCCTGGAGCAGGGAAAGAACTACATTTCCCAGCATTCCCTTGGCCACTAGCAACAGGAAAGGGTGCGGGAAGGAGTGTGGAACTGAAATCTGCAGCTTGTTGTGAACGGTAGGTACAGAGCCAGCTCTAGGTTTTTTGCTGCCCCCCCCACACCCCTGTACTGCCCCAGCCCTGGACTCTCCCCTGCACACCCCTTGCTGCCCCAGCTCTGGCCCCCACCTGCA